CGTCAATAGAAATAAGGCAAATTTATTAGAGGAATTTGCCTTATTTCTATTGACGGCACTGTTTAGTAAATGATCGATATGACTGACATAATCGGGCATAATCCGATCTCCATATCCACCGATATGATTTTTTTTTGTTTGTTTTGACGCTCCCCAAAATTATTGTTACACGACATACAAGGTGAGTCAGCTAGTTGACGCAGTGCTGAACCAATAAAATCTAGAACATGTGATTAAAATACTTATATTTGATATATTTAAGTGCCCACCATTAGAAAACCCGCCTTCCGTTCTTTTGTATAAAAACGTATCGGACATAGCCCTTGATATCTGTGCGATATGTAATTCAAGATACGTGCGTCTAGTTGTTTCGGAGGTACTATTTTTAATAAAAATATCACTATATATTTCTTTTTTAATCTCATTTATGCGTCATTTTCAGGGGCTATGTCCGATATGATTTATGCAAAAAAACGGAAGTCAGGTTTTCTAATGGCGGCACTTATATTCTCTATAGAAGCATTACTGCATTACATTTTTAAGAATTTTACCTTTGCCAAAGCAGGAAATGGGTGAAAATTGAAATTCGAGTTCTCTCTAACCCCAAATCCTAACCTAAGAAATCACAGAGTAAATGAAAAAATTCCTACTAGTTTAGTTGATATTGACCGACCAACCATTTTTGAGCTAATTACTGAAAAGTCTGATATTATTAATCCAACCGTACGTAGAAATAGAAGATTTAGCAGATTATAAATAATATGCCTATACCCGGTAATCATATTATTTTCTTACTATTGATTAACATTTATCATATCCTTAAGACAGGAAATGAATCGTGAGGGTGTGGTTATCATGCTAACGATGGATATTCATTTTGTTCTGAAAGTGATGAGCCATATGGGCCGACATGTCTGCATGTACTATTGGTGATGCTATTTAAATATTAGAAATCAACCTAAGTAAATAAAATGCTTTAGAAATTAACCTTTATATTTCACAAGCGAATTTGGTAAAATATTTATAACATTTTTTAAGAAATTACGTGCAATCTGCAGTGATTTCAAGGACATTCTACTGTATATCTTTGTGCTGGATTTAGATCGCGAGTTAGTGAATAGGTGAGCTGCGCATTACTAAAGAAATAACATTCGAGCATTACTTTATCAGACTTTAGATTTATT